TTATAGGATATAATCAAGCAATCAAATATAAAAAAAGGTTATAGATTAAAGTTTTGAGGTATGGATATGCTTTGTCATGAAGTGCTCAATTTTTATACATACATACATATATATATATATATATATATATATAGGGAGATCAAATGAGAATGTTAACTATTTAAGAGAATACGGAAACGGCCAAATCACGTGCAAAATCACATGTGATTTTTCATTTACGGTCAAAAAAAGGTGTGTGGGTGACTTTGGCCTCGTCTTCAGGTCGTGGGGCAAAGTTGCATGAATCACATAGTGACTTTGGCCTCGTCTTCAGGTCGTAGGGAAAACTTGCGTGAATCACATGTTTATAACTATTCTTATCAATATTTTCTATTTAATAGTCTTAATTAGGTTGATTTGTTTCCTTCTCAATGAGATGTAAATGTGTGTGTAAATAGGGTCCATGGTTGTTAATAAAACTCATCAAAGCCTTTTCATCTCTTATATGGTATAAGAGCATTGATCAATTTTATTCCCATCCAATTTCTTATCATGGCAAAGAATGGCAACACCACCACCTCTTGCATCCTTCCTACCTTAAACACCACCACCCACAACCGCACCTTAAAAACCTATCTCGGCAATGGTGTCTTTATGAGGGTCATGTCGTTTCTTAATACTCCGCCTTCAAACAACTCTTCCTTCACATAGTTTTTCCCACGTTTCTCATCGGTCCAAATCCAACCCGAGTCTTTTGCTCGGCTCCTCAAACTAATGTTGCTACCTTCACTAATTTCCCTTCCTTTTCATGGCTCATGGACAGCGGTGTCACTCACCATGTCAAAAATGACATCGCCAACCTAGCTTTACATGCCCCTTATGACGGCTCCGATGATCTCATCATTGGTGATGGTTCCTCTCTGCCGATTTCTCATATTGGTTCTTTCTCTCTCTACTTCTCATAAATTATTTAATTCTCCAATGTTATATTTCTACAATCTATATCTGGAAACATTCTCTACATGGAAAATAATGCTCTTGTGAATTCTTACCTACCTCTTTCTGTATTAAGGATTGCTCGATAGGCCTCACCCTCCTTCAAGGGCCAACTAATGGGGGGCATCTATGAATGGGCCCATCACCTCCTTTCGTTCACCTCAAGCATGGTCGTTCCTCCCACCAATTGGCATCATCGTTCGGGTCATCCCTCTATTGATATTATTAATACCCTACGCAGTCAAGTGCCATTGAATCTTCCTTCATTTAAGTCTACTTGTAATTCTTGCAATATCTATATCTATAAAAGTCATAAACTACCCTTCTCCAAGTCTACTCTTACTTCTACCGCTCCGTTAGAACTAATATTTACGGACGTTTGGACGACCCCTATTCTTTCATTTGAAGATTTTAAATACTATGTCATTTTCGTTGACCATTTTACAAAATATATTTGGTTATACCCCCTCGAACAAAAATCTAATTAATACTCTTAATTAGGTTGATTTGTTTCCCTCTCAACGAGATGTAAACGTGTGTATAAATAGGCTCCATGGTTGTTAATAAAATTCAACAAAGCCTTTTCATCTCTTATAGCTCTCTTCTTCCTTACACCCCACTACTGAAAACACTAGAAAAATGAAAATTGGACCCTGATAAATTTTCAAAATAAAAATCAAACCTAGAAAAGTTTTCAAATGTTCTACCGAATAACCCCTAAAAATCCTCCTACCATAGCAGCAAAATCATTTCTATCCACGACCACAAGAAAAGAAGGCTATGGTCTCCTTCTAGGCAGGGTAGTCATCGACAAAGAAAAAATAGTGAAAGGCGGTGACGAAAAAAATTATGGAAGGCGTTGAGAAAGAAACAAACCCATGAATCTGTTGCCATCTACTTCTATCCTCCGTAAATGTTTCTTCTTGCTTTTTGGAAAACGAGAATTTTTAATGTATGTTTATGGAAAAAATAATTTTGACCATGAAATCAAAGTGGTAGCCAACTAGCTATTAGCAAAAGGAAAATATATTTTTGTATTTAGAGTTATTAGTTTTAGAATTTATTGAGTTGATTGGACAAACTTAAAGATCAATTTTTATTGTTGATTGATCAATTCATGTCAAATGTTAGGAAACAAACATGGTCTTAATGTAAAAACAACCAAACAACACACAAGGTTAAATTGGTAATTTTCTGTCATCCAAACTATCTATTCAAAACACTTCCATTCAACACTAAATTACACATAGTCTCTTAATCATTGTGACCACTTAATCAATCTACACCAAATCATTCAACAATAACCAAACAACCCCAAAAGTGCATTAGAATGCAAATTAGTTCAATTATGTTTTTTCTTAATTTCATCCATTTCACAACTTTTTCTTCATGTGTTGTGGATACTGGATGGTTATTCTTCAAGGAATGTGTGAGAGTGCTCTTATGCTAAGGAAATGCCTTCTCTTAAGCTAGGTTAGAGAAATAAAATCGTATAACAAAATGTGTCTCAAAGTACTTAATTTCTATATATATGACCAAATTGTATAGCACAAGATTAGAAAAACAAAATTAGGGATCTTGTTGGTAGTAGAGAAAGACTATTGGATTTTAGTGGGAACTTAAAGTGGGTTTGGTTTTACAAAAATAAAATGGAATTGAGAGAATTTGGATTTAAAATCCATTCCAATTGTTTACCAAATTAGAAATCCTTGTATTTTAATAAAATCCCTTAAACATGGGATTTGAAAATCGTTTTCGGAGGGGTGGCATTTAAAATTCAAATCCGGCAAAGAAACCTATCGCTTCCATCCTGCCTCGCTTCCCTTCCCTTCCCTTCCTGCCTCCCTAACCCGCCGGTGCTCTCTCCTCCTCGCCGGTGCTCTCTCCTCGTCGTCGTCCCGCTTGAAGCGGTGCTCTCTCCTCCTCTTCGCCGCCTTCTCTCATCAACCCGGAAAAAGATTTGTTGGGAGAACTGGAATTGGGGCTGATCTTCAATAGAAATCGGTGGCTTTCTCCTCCTCAGAAATGATCGATCATCCATTTCTTCTTCAAAGTACATCTAAATTTCAAAAATTTGTGCAACTTCATCTATCGCTGGCAAATCATCAGTTCATGATTTTACAGTCAAGGTATTTATAAAGGAAAAGTCCTGCTTAGGGTTTTGATTGTTTCAATTTCGTGTTCAAACGATGTTGTTTTTGTGATCAAACATTTGCTTTGTGATAATTCAGCTTCGAATCTTCGATTACTCTAGTTTAGGGTTTTGATTGTTTCAATTTCGTGTTCAAACGGTGTTGTTTTTTTTTTTGATCGAACATTTGTTTGGTGATAATTTAGCTTCGATTTACTTAGTTTAGGGTTTTGATTGCTGAATTTTGTGTTCAATAAGCGAAAACGTTTCTGAAATTGTGGTCTAGATGATTTTGCATTTTAAGAGATGAAACAAAAAAACAATAGTATCGTTGATTCACTTGACTGCTTCTTATTCATTCCCACCATTTTCAAATCTGTTCATCTCCTTCTAGCTCCTAAACTCGACAGTGTTCGAAGTGTTCTTGGMGAAACTTTTCATCATCTAAATTYGGTGAGAGTAGCTTTTTCCAAGTGATGAGAACATTAATGACTTGCTTAGGTGACTTGCTCATAGTTAGATTGTTAAATATGTATTTTGGATTAATAGGTTTGTTGGTTAAATAGGTAGTTTTAAGAAAATAAAAGAGATTTGGTGACTAAAATAATTACAAAAGAAAAAAAAATTTCAATCCAAATCCTACAAACCAAACATGATTTACAAAGTAATGGATTTCAAACCAATCCAAATCCTGCAAACCAAACACATGAATGGATTTTAAATCCCTCCAAATCCAAATCCCTCCTACAAATCCAAATCCCTCAGAAACATTCCTGCAAACCAAACGCACCCTAAACATAGGAATGGAAGAGATTTTGGAGGATTTGGAATTCCAATACATTCCAATCTCGTGTTTGGTTTGCAGGATTGCTCGGATTTGAAATCCATCAAACATAGGATTTTGAAATCCCACGGTGGTGGTTGGGATTTCATGGGATTACGTAGGATTTGTTTATTATAGTGTTTAAAAATATGTTAAAAACATTTGTTTGATAATAATCAATTAATAAAAAGGTAATTTAATTATTTTTATAATTCTTTATAACTTGTTTTTATTATTTAAAAAATGGAATCCAATTCCATTCCAAATCCTAAAACCAAATACCCTAAAGATCCCAAATCCAATCCCTCAAATTCCAAATCCTTCCACGAAATCCAAATCCCTCAAAACCATTCCTTCAAACCAAACGCCTCCTTAGTATTATTTGGTTGTCTTGTTCTTCTCCCTAGGCTAAATACCAAAATGATGATTATGAGGAAACATTGGTTCATGTAGCATTATGGCTGAAAAAAATATTTGTATCTAGTGGGGCATCATGTTGGTATATATGAAGAATGCATTTGTTAATACACTTGTTAAGGAGGTTTAGTTGGTTTATATGGATTAACCACTAACTTTGAGGTGGAGTAGACTTTCAGACTATGCTGTTACAACGGTCAAAATACAAAGTAGTGGGCAGGACTGATGTTTGAAATAGCGCTTATTGCGGTGGTATAGCGGTTCATCTAACATTTCTAAAGAGTTATATATATATATATATATATATATATTATATATGTATGCATACATGAAGATATTATATGCAATAATTAAAAATATAGTGTCAACATCAAAACATCAACTTAAACAAGTTTCACAAAACAAAATAGGAAACGTGTTCATAAACGATGATAGAAAACTCACAGTGTCGAAGAAGGTTGACTGACAACGATGATAGAAAGAAATTAAAACCTAAGATTCTAAGAATTTCTAAACCGMATGYTGGAGCCTGGATGATATTCGTTGAYGGTTAATGGATTAAAATAAMATAAGGGCCCAAATCAAAATAAAAGCCCAAGTCAAAATRAATGCCCAAAAACGACAAAAATGTAAGCATTAGATTCAGAACAGGTCCAACTGAGAATATCGGTATAGCAGATCGCTATTTACCTCAATATCGGTGAAATAGCGGTAAATTGCGCCGCTATTGTCGAAACCGCAATTTTCACCACTATTTTGCTTAGGACTGATAACCGCTATTGCACCGCAATTAACAACATAGCTTTTAGAGTATATCGTCTCTGTGTGGATGTGGCTTGAAACATAGTTTTTTCTCTAGATTTTCATTCAACATCATTCATAGACACAAAACTCTTGGACATTTAGCACTTCCTTATTCACTTCTATTGAACAAAACCATATATATATATATATATATATATTAATGTGTCAATAACAATGATACTTTATGGATTTTAGTTCGCCTATCTAAGTTCTGTTGACCGTCTTCTGTTTGCTTGTTATGGAAGAAAGACACAACTTAATAATTTTCAATTCTTTCACATGCAGGTGGAGTGTATACCTCTACTTWGTTCAAGCGAGTTTCTTTAACGATGATGATTTGAATTTTACATGTCATTTTTAGCATGAAAAGTGACAGTGTTGTTATAGAAGCTCTGTTAGCAATGGGCATCAAGTACCTACATGAGTAGCAGGATTTGGTACATTTATATACAAGCCATATAATATYTCATACCGAGAGACTATGTTTGAAATACAAAATGGAACAGAGGTGCTTTCTAGAGTTGCGGCACCCTAATCTTGTGTCTTTGCCTGGCTATTGTAATCATGGAAAAGAGAGATGCTTGTTTATGAATATATGCCCAATGGAACACTTGAAGATAATCTCCATACTTGGTACCCCTCTTTCTTGGCTTCAGCAACTCAACATCTGCATAGTTGCTGGTCGTGGGTTACACTACCTTTACATTGGTACAGGAATTCGGGTTGGGGTTATACATCGTGATGTCAAGAGCTTAGATATTAATATTATATTGTATAGAAGTTGGGCAACAACATATAGGACTGGGGGTTTGTTCAAAATAGGCCCAACGAATAAACTATCAATTTGTATCGACACACTTGTTCAAGGTACTTTTGGGTACCCGGATCTTGATTATTATGCAACTGGAAAGCAGAAAATCTGATGTGTATGCCGCTATGCCTAACATTGAACACATTAGACTTACTTGTCAGCTTTCGAGTTGTGTAATAGTTGGGATCCAGATACCCAAAAGTACCTTTATCATTGTCTTGATATAAGTGGATGGCTGATTAGTTGGCCTTGACAACCCAAAGTCCGGAAGTTTTTGCTGCCCAACTTTCATTTAACAAAATATTTGAGCTTTTGACATCACGATGTATAACCCCAATCAAAATTTGCGGTCATTTTCTTGGAAGTGCTTTGTTGGAAGCATGTAGTGGATACACTCTTGATGTGGACTGCTGGAGTTTTGCAAGATGGGCTCAAGAATTTATTGAAGAAGACAATCTAAAGCATATCATTGGTTCTGGTATAAGGGGTCAAATAACCCCAAAATGTTTGAAGGAGTTTGTTCTAATTGCAGAGAGATGTTTGCATGGCAATCCAAAACAGCTCTACCATACAGAGGTTGTGGCCAGTACACTGACCTCACCTGAGAAATTCAGTAATTCATTGCAACATGCAGACATGATAATATTTGGTAGAATGGCTGGTATGATTCCCTTCCCCTCCAAAGGAGAAAACTCTGGTATTTTAAGCTCCTCTAGATTTGCATGTAATATTCTGTGAATTTGTGTGTGATCGATCATCTTCACATATATAGCAGAATTTCAATGAAGACATAGAAATGCCATCTCTCAGTATTAAAAAGAACAAGGGTACTACTAGTTATTTAGTTGCATCAATCAGATGATAGATTTCTTTCCATTTCAGATGGTATTTCTTGGCCTCTTCATATGTTCAGCCCAACTTATTTAAGCTCTTTGGAACTACATTGTTTTTTTTTTTTTTTTTTCCATTTACGTAAGTTATAAGCAGTTAGCATAATAATAATTTTCTTTCCATATAGAAATGTAAACCATGTATATTCAGTGTATCTTACAACAAAACTGTTTCATGCCCTACCAGTTGAGGTAGGATAAATTGTCCCGAAAGAAATTTAAAAGAGGTGGAAGCCAAAAGAATTTTATTAAGAGGGGAATGTTTGTTTTGGAAGATGAATGAGGTTCTTCCACATACTTCTAACACAAAGTCCTTTGATATATTCGGCTCCCTTACAGCACTCTTCATTAATTCTCCCCCTTTAGTATTGCCCAACTTTTGCCTCTCTGAATGATCTCCTTTTGTACTATTTTCTGTTCTATACGTAAAAGTTCTGTATTGGATATGAATAAAACATCTTAAGTTATGTTATGTCAGCTATTCTCAACCATTGCCACTCCAACCTTCTCTTCTATATCTTTATATCTAATCCTATTCCTTCTTGTCTGGCCCAACGTCTATTTTAGCATCCAAATTTCTACTACAATCGTTTTATGTACATACTTTGATGGCCCAACGTTATTCTCCTGAAGTCATAGTTCCCATTTTTGCCTCATTTAGGACCAACTAGAAAGGCTGTCAAGTCATCATTAATCCACTTTGCTGTTATAGTATCTTCATCTTCRTAATACCAATTCAAACTAACAGAATATATCTTTTCTAACTACTCTTTGCAAACTGCAAAGCATGCTTACTTATCAACAACGCTAAAGTTTCACTTAATGTACTATGTTTTAAACAAGCTTAATCTAGACCTGCAGATTTTAATTTCTTTTATTCTTGCCCACCTTAGGTCTATCATCTTGCTTAGTCTCACCAGTACATGATAGTGGTTAGAATCATGCACCATTGTGTSCTATCTTGCATGTCATCCGTGAGTTCACCCATAACTAATGTAAAACGATAAAGACCCCATGCTGATCTATGGTCTAAACTGTGGTAATAGCAGTGTTCAAAACGGTGCGCCATGGCGCTATGTGGCGCAAGACGCGTCTCCGCCGTTACGAAATGGCCCATAGCGTTTCTGTAAGGCATAGCTCACGCCATGGCGTCTTGAAGCGCCCCGTGGCGTGCTTTTTTTTTGTAACACGCGATTTGTTTTCAATTTTTTTATTTTTTATCTTTTATGTTTTTATACTTTTAACTATAGATTTTACATTTTCATAGATCTAACTAATCACATCACTCACACTTTGACAAATTCATAGACGTTATAGACTCACGGTTAAAATGAAGTTGTAAAATTACCTTTCTAAGTTATATTTAAAATATTTAATCAAAAACATATTTTTATAATAATAATCTATATGATTTTTCTTCTTCTAGTATGAATGTTTTTTTAAGATCATTATCTGATTAGATAATATATAGAAAACATCTATGCTACATTATAAAGCAGATTTCATAAAAGTCTTAAAAACAACTTAAAATGCATAAAGTACAACCTTTTGATGCTTAAAGTCTTAAAAATATACAACTTCTTTATGCATAATGTATACAGTATAACCCTTTAATGCTCTCCACTACTCTCCTTGCATGCTACATTCACACTCCTCTAAGAAGATTGTCTTTCCAATACAAGCTCTCATCGCTCCGCACACTCTCATCACTCTGCACGCTCTCATCGATTTCCCTCCTAAAGGAATGATGCAAATTGACGATTCACACTCCTCTAAGAAGATTGTCTTCCCAATACAAGCTCTCATCGCTTCGCACGCTCTCATCGATTTCCCTCCTAAATTAATGATGCATAAATTGACGATTCAAGCTCCCGTATGATGATTACTTATTCAGGATCACCATGTAATGGCTCCACACACTCGCGATCCATGCTTCGAATACAGCTAGGGTTCCAATCGAGGTAATTATTTTTATTTTCCATCTTCATTTGGTTGGTTAGGGTTCTCAGTTTTCAATGGGTTAGCGAATTAATTGTTCCTCTATGTTGATTCCATTCAAGATTTCACTTATGTGAGTTTTAGGGTTCTTCCCAGATGGCCTTACTCTCGATCAGAGGCATTGGAGTGAGCTACAGATTATTATTCCCTTCTCCCCTTTGTGCATTTCTGTTTTACATTTAATCTTCACTGGGAAATGGCATAAGAAATTTAAATTTCCACTTTGTTTCAAACCTTAAAGGCCATTACCTATCATCAATCCTTGTTCAAAACAGTATATACTTTCATATTGTCATAAAACTCTTGGACAATTTCCACTTTGGGATACCCATTGCAGGCTACAGAGTTTTCTCTGTTAGAAGTTTATAGACTAAAATCTAAATGTCTGGGGATAGTCATTATTGATTTTGTTCACATGGTTTAATCCCTCCCAAACCAAATGTGAAGTTTGACTAGGCATATATTCCAAAGAGACTTTGATGTTGCAGTCTGGTTAGGGCTCGATCATCTCTCATCTACTCATTCCAATCGAGGTATTTTCCTTCTTTTGGTTTGAATATCTCATACGATTGTTTATCTTCCTTCCCCTTTTTCCAGTTCTTATTTTCAATTTTATCTTTTGTGTTCTTTTTATTGTATAGCCTCTTTCTTACCATGAAAATGGGTTAGGGCTGTTTAGATTTGCAATGGATTTTGGTTTTTCTCCAAAGCTTCATTTGGATTTTTTTTTATTATTTCTTACCTACCATCTTCACTTACCAAATATATTTTCGATCTTTGTCCTGCTTTTTTATGGGGTAAGATTCTTATTCCTTGTAAATTTGTAATCCTCACCGGGTAAGGTATAGTAAGGACCTGGTAAAATCTTACCCCGATCAGCATTTGGTATGGCAACTTAATGAGGTTAAAATAATGTGTTGCCAGAAAAAAAAGCTAAAAGCATTCATAGAGTGAGGTTAAACCACTAGCAAGCKGTGAGGAGATTATGTTTGCACATTTCTTGGACATCCTGGTTGGATTTGCTGCTTGTTTTCAAAACAGTTTGATCATAGTTCACTAATACTTGTGATCGTTTAACSTCGGTAAGTTGAATAAACTTTTACAACTCTGCTAATGATATTATATCGATGTGGAAGGAWTGTGTRTCACTTGGTGCTCACCCGATTCTTAATCATGCCTCTTYCTTGGGYATCACTGACGATTATCACCATGTTTATGATCACCGCCTGATCACCAACAGTTATAATCATCGATGGATCAACAAAAACAAGGTGGTACTAATTGACGTCTTACTTAGGGATCTTATCATCAACATATTTTCGATGTACTTTTACCGACAGATTATTGACAACAATATTTGTAATTCATTAACTGATTGCAACTTCTAAAATCTCCAATAACAGTGAAACAAACATAGCTTTATTGTAGTAGTTGATGACAGAGAGCACCCCACTATGTTAGCAAGTTTCCTATTATGTTTTCCCATGACATGTTAGCCGTATCTGGTATTAAGAGACCCCGAATAACTGTTGATGAACAGCAAGCTTCAGTCCATGTCATTTATAATTCTTTAACAAGGTATAAAGGAAAACGTTATTGTTCAATACTTCCTTCCTATTGTTTCTATTTAGATGTCCAGTTTTCACTTCCTAATTATGTAAAGTTCTATCACTTTTTGATCTTTTTATCTTTATTTTTTGGAGAATCAGTTTCAGATTGTGGGTATTTTTCTTGTATATTTTCATCTTATATTTAACATTTATAACAAAGTGAACTGGACATTTATATAGGAACATAGGGAGTAAAAATGCATGAATAGAGTTTGTTTTTTTGTGTTTATGGACAGTTTCTCATCCTGTTGATTCCATGTCAAGAGGATTGTGGTTAAAGAATTTATGTGTGAACTCTAATTGGATAACTTTGTGTATCAGAGAGAGTAAACAGAAGCGTGAGGAGTTATTACAGAAGTGGTCAGAAGGGCATACTCGACATCGTTCTTCAGCTCGTGTAAGTCTTGATTGTCCGATGTTGTTACTCATCTCATTGCAGTCTAACATTTTCTACAATTTGTTTTGCTGTAGAAACAGTCGCAAACTGCTTGTTTGTATCAAAACAGTCCCAAACTACTGCTTGTTTTGCTGTTTTCTTTGTGTTTTTCTAAGTAACATGTCCACCGCAAGTACATTTATGGTGGGTATGTTGCTTCCTACATGAGGGTGAGTGTTGTTTAACAAGAGATGTAGTGCATCTTTGAAAATAGAACATATGGTTTGAAAATAGTTGGTTTATATGCAGATTTTGATGGGAGATGAGCCGGAAAAGTATCGGTCTCACTTCTCTGAATACATTAAAGCTGGAGTTGACCCGTAAAACATTGAAGAGCTGTACAAGAAGATGCATTAAGCCATTCATGCTGATCCAACCCCAAAGAAGTTGGAGAAACAGCCTCCAAAGGAGCACACAAGAGGTAACCTTATTTTCTAAAATCTGTCCTTTTGATGGTAAAAAGATAATTTTGCAGAAGATTATGTTTATAAAAACAGAGAGATGATTATGTGTGTTGATGTTGTTTTTGTGGGTTTAGGTTCAACTTGAAGAAGCTAACATATGATGAGAGGAAGGAGAAGCTTATTGAGAGACTGAATGCTCTGAATGCGGCATCTGGTGGTGCAGATGATGAATGAAAACATGTTTGATTTTGAATTATTTGAAAAGAAAATTGAAAACAGTTCAATTTTGCATGCTTTGATGAATTTTTTAGAATGAGGGTGGAGATATTTGGAGACATAGTGGATTATCAATACGATGTTGGAATTGCCTTTGTAAGTTTCCATTTTCATTTCTGGGGATTGATGGTGTCTTTTTTTGGTTCAAGAAATTATCATATGCTAAGTTTATAGTTTAGATTTAATATAAAAGATTATGTTTGATGCATCTTTTATTTGTGCTTGTAATGTGAGATTATATATCTAAAGCAGCATATATTTTAAGCCAAAAATCTTTTACTATTTTTCATAAAATAGGCATGATGGTATTTACCTGTAAGAAAAATTACACCTATTGAACCCATATGATCAATTAGGTAAAATAATTGTATAAGTTTGTTTGGTGATAGCGTAAAGGGAAGACTACAGATTGTTACCTATGCTCAAATTTTGGTACGAAACCTGTGTCGTTGCTCTATACTCTTTGGATTTTAGGGGCCGTTTAACAAATGCTTACTCAGGTATGCGTTTACTAAGTCATGTTACTTCATTGGATGAATATGTCAAAGACCAAGAATCTTACCCGGTAAGAGCGAAGGCAAGAACTGAAAGTCTTACCCGGTAAGTGATTTTACCACGGTTAGCACTTATTGGGTAAGTTGTTACATACGATGTCGTTTTGGTAGACTAAAATCTTACCAGGTAAGTAAGCGGTAATGTTGAATTTTACCATTAAACACTTACGGGTAAGTGTTTAGATAAACGGCCGCTTAGTTATGTGGTAAGACGTTTGCTCCAACCATATGTGTTTGATTAGTGTTAGTCATCTAGATATTGGGGCTTGTCTCAATACCCTAGGTGATTTTGCTTTCGGGTGGAAGTCTCACATTAATTAAGTGTACCTTTTGTCCGTTTATTTTTTTTAGAGGTGTTGTCCTCTTTCCAAAAAAGAAAGTCGTGATACATATCAAAATCTTAAAAACAATTTTTAATGCATAAAGTACCATACATTTATGCACAAAGTTTTAAAAATCTTAAAAAACAACTCATAATGCATTAAGTACTACTATTTTATGCATTCAATCTTAAAATCTTTTATATACAATTAAAATAACATATAGTACAAGTTACCAATGCACATTATTATTTTTCCTTTTCATGTTTCCAAGATACTTTTGACACATTTCACTCATGTCTTCACCCTCTCATACCTCTATGTCTTTTTCCCATCCCCAAGGTGAGATTCAAACTGATATTCACCATGATATATTAAAAAATTCTCTCATTCATCTCTCATTCAGTTGCTCTAGAACTCTCTCTCTTGATTCTTTGCTCTTGGTGTAAATCGAACACATTTGTGGAGTCGTTTAAATATGTTGGATTTTAAATTTATTGGTTTTTAAATTGTTATACAATTTTTTTCATCGATAGACTGTAATTGGAATCATAATTTTTATTTATTCAAATTGTATTAATATGTAAAAACCAAGTGTAACTTATATCAATGTTAAATCTTCTATAATAAAACCAATGAAACTTCAAAATCGTTAAAATTCACGGCTCCCGCCGCATTGCGCGGGTACACAACTAGTATATCTATATACATAATTGTATATATGACATACAAATTTGTCGCCTTATGTCGCGCCTTGAAAAATGCAGCATCCTCGCCGTGGCATGTAAGGCTTGAGGCTGTAACTCTCCGCCTCGCTATGCCTTATGCCTTTTTGAACCTTGGGTAATAGGAAAAATATTTTTCCAGTTGGTACCATGTAATATAATTTATTTAATAACATTTCCCTACACTGTAAGCACTTCTCGCATCACTTCCATTGGTACCCTACAACTCTTTGGAAGATTGATAAACACCATGTAAGATCCTTTTACATCCACAAATATTTAAGAAAAAGGTCCCTGTTGCTATGGATGTTCCTAGAACCAAGACAAAATTGGTTTTCAAATATCTTAGGGGCCGTTTTCCAAACGATTAGCAGGTAAGTGCTTTACCTGCAAGAATCTACCATCTGCACTTACCTTATTGGGTAACATTATCGGCCATTAGAATGGATTGTTGATGAGCTTTTTTTTACCCGGCAAGCGCTTACCAGTAAGATTCCAGTTCTTGTAATGCTCTCCCGGTAAGATAAGTGATAACCCGATAAGCGCTTGCCCCGTAAGCATTTGGTAAACGACCCCTTAGTCTCAACTCTTAACTTGCTCAATAACATGTTCCTGTAGTTTCATTGTTTTGCACTCAGCCTGATCATTTAATAGTTCACACTATTTCGAGTATCCACTTGTTCCTTAGTTTCATTGTTTCTGTAATTTCTTACCTTATCTGAGTCAACTTGCATACATCATTAGCTCCTCTTCTCTTCCTACTTTCTTATATAGTTCCTCTTATTCTCATGTGTACGCTCTCTTACTCTTCTGTGTCCACGTCTCTTGTTACTTCCATAGATTATCTTGTCTAGTTTGTTCATCTCTATGTTCAAGATCTTACGACCATCTAAGAGTTTTACATCATCCCTTGGTTTCTTTGTTAAAATTTCGTGCTCCTTGTTTTCCACCATCACGTGTCTTTGGTATAATCTGTACTTTGGGTACTTTATTTGAAGGTCTCCATCATACTTTCATACTGTTTTTATGTTCTCTACACTATTACATATTGGTGCAATGTTTTAGCCTTCTTCACCACACTTTTTCTTTCAAGATTACTGGGTGCACTGAAAGAATTTTAATAATGTATTTCCTTGGCTTTCTTATTATAAGAGAATATGACTTCTCATAAAACAATGAATATTTAAGGTTGTCAAATGGGCTATGCTAGCTAACCTAAGTTATAGGGGTTGCCTAAAGCCTAGGAGGAAGTGTGCATGAAGAGAGGCACCGTATTACCTAAATAACATGTATTTAAAGATGCAGTAGCTGTACAATGGTCATCTTGAAACTTGATGCCTGTAGCATATGGTCTTTGTGCAGTCATGCATATCAAAGATTGGTAAACAGGAGAACTCTTTCTTATTAGGCATATGGAAACCTAGTGGAACAAAAATCTGATTGGGTATCCACTTGAAGTATACTGGAATGGTTGTGGAGAAGTTGAAATAACGATTATTTATATAATCTGCTTGTATTAATCTGTTTCATCTCAGGGTGATTCAAAGCTATCAAGTAATACCAAGGGCAAGAGGAGAATTGCTGGTAATATGTTTGTGGACGCAAGAGAAGTTCCTGCAGATTACAGAATTCAAAGTTTAGAAGAATTTAAGTTTGCTTATTTGAATAGGGTTACAAGTAACTTCACTAATGATCAACTCTTGGTTATGGGAGGTTTTGGAAAGGCGTTCTTCGGGTTAGGTTGGGTTGCAGTACATGTTCGCCCCTTCAACACCTGGTGCAGGAATTGCTGGAGCTGTTAAAGAGGCTTGATGAAGCATAGTTGGCAAGGATCTGATGAATGGCATGGCAGGTAAGTTCCAATAACTGCATATTCAACTTATATCTATGATCAATATTTCCTGGACTCTAGATCTTGTTCCTCACATTAATTCATCTTACGTTTACTCATTACGGTCTAACATCATGACAAATATTAGAAAAATAGATGATGCTTGTACTTGAAGTTTGTGGTGGACCATTTCTCTAATGAAGTCTAAATGAAGTTCAACCTACAAGGTCTTGTATTAAAAAGGAGTGAGAGATGATATGATACATGATTCTGGTTGAATATACTGTAGTAAAGACTGGTCTCAGCATAACGGAGGCCTGAGTTTGATCACCTTAGAAGTAAAGCTGAGGTTAGCCATGAATCTTAGTTCTTGCTATAGCGAGTATCCCTTGAAACCTCTAGCAGCATCTTATAAACAATTCATATCTGGGTTCCGCTAACACGTAGAGGCTCAGGTAATATGAAATTTCATGGGAAAGGACATTTCAAAGGAGAAGTGAATATTTTATGATTGATATTCGACTCGGCATATGTTCATTATCTTCATTATGCCTTTTATTTTGTGATTCAATGAGTCAATCTGTTTGGTAGAACAATACTAGAATTAATTATGCTTTATCAATCTCTTGGCTAAACATAGCTAAAAAATTGTGACATCAGGCAGAGTTGAGAGTGCTAGGACAGTTGGCTTATACAAATATTATTAACCTCTTGGTATATTGTAATGACAGAACATGAATACTTGCTTGCTTACAAGTACATGGAAAACCCAAGTTTTGATTGCCTTTTATACCCATACTTGAATCTCTCTAAAATTATTGTTGGATTGCTTTTAACACAAAAGTTGAATTATTGCAATGAAGGAGCTTTGTGACATGAATAATTTTGCACAGCTACTTTCATGGGAAACACGACTTAGCATAATGATAGGAGTAGTTTGTGCACTTGCTTATTTGCATCTGTCAAGAGATCAAATCATATGTCGTGGTGTTAAAAGTTATGATATATTGCTATATCAAGCTATTCATGATTTATGATGGTGATCAAACCACTTCAATATCTTATGCCATTGAAGTTAACCGTTTATTTTTACTCTTCCTACTCCAGGATTTTAATGCAAAATTGGGGGATTTTGGATTGGCGAAATTTCAAATGTGTTGCACTCGTGTTCGGATGTTTTGCAAACAAACCTAAAGATAGACCAACCAACAAGTGATGAGGTTTTACGGAGTTTGGGACAAATATATATTGTTAACAAGTACTTGAAAGGCGACTAGAGACTCGCTTCAATATGCATGAAATGTGTTGATTTAAACTTCAAATGTGGGAAATTTAGGAACATGACCTTCAATGATTTGTCTTTCCCAACCCTTGATGTTTATATTGTCTTTCAAAACCCTTGTCAAGGGTACCAAAATACACATGGGACTTCCTAAGCGACCTCTCCCCCCAAATTACGTATGGGGCTTCCTACACAAATTCCAAGTCGTCTTCTGAATTATGTACAATGTAGCTTAGGTGACTTCAAAAGTCGTGCACGATGTAGGTTATCAGTGAATGACTAAACCAGCCGAATATATTATAGAATCACGTTTAGGATGATATATGACCATGTTGCCCAAAAGCAACAAAGAATGCACAAC